GATCCTTACATCTTCCATGTCCTGCCACCCGTGGCAACCAACCGAGATGGTGGCATCCGGATTGGCTTCCAGTAGCAACATGGCCACGCCTGCATCACAACAAGCGCAGCACAGAGCCGAAACATGAGTGGGTGGAATCTATGCAAAAATAGGGCATACCAAGGGGTGGTGCAAGCCGATGGGCAACCCAAGCTATACATGCCTGTAGGAAGTTTCCACCATTCTTGCGCCACGCATCGAAAAGCATTAGCCCAGAATTCTGCGCTCCACCATCCGGATGGTGGACACACACAGTGCATTACACACATTCCCAAAATTTGCAACACCATCTCCCGCAGCAGAGCCACATCGCCTCTGAAATCTGACAGAACCTTCGTTGCCAATTGGCAACATGCAAACAGACAAAAATACAGAAGAGAAGGATGGCATCGAGCGATGGCCAAGCTCCCAACCACCAAAAGCACAACACGGCACCACGCCACAAAACACCCGACTCATGGCACCGGTGCACTAGCGACGGTGACTGATGCATTACCAGCGCCTACGCAGACCGCGAATCACACGTACGGCAGAAAAAACATGCCACAAAGCAGCAGGAGAGGTAGCGTGCAGGAGAAGTGTGATTTGGTGTTTGCGTTAATGCACATGTTTGGTGATGTCGGGGGACCCACGGGCGTACTGCTTGTGGTTTCGGACGAAAGCACCATACGTCCGTTCGTTACTTTTGTATTGTTTGCCTTTCGTGTACTGCTGTTGGGCAACTTTTTGGCCAGCTGGCCGCCATAGTGCCGAGGACTCGACACTGTGAACTCAGAGAGAAGACATGCAGAGAAGTGCGCTGTTCCAAATTTGAACACAAACGCCGTTTTCGATGGTGCGTTGCTCATGCATGAGCCGTCCAAAACTCTCTCCCTTGTCGTGTTGGAAGCGTGCAGATGGATCTATACTTCTTTTATGTCTAATTTGCAACGGAACGTCTGAAGAAGAGCGCTGTGATCACGGTATCTCATGAAAAAGGAAAAGCTCGGTTTCTAACAACTTCCGGCTCAAAATAAGCCGTAAATTGTTTGGCGGATTTGCGGTATTCACATCATAAAAACAGCATTGAAGCTCAGCGCCGATCGATGGTCTGCGCCGCGCTCATCCATGACTAGAGGAGACTGCAGTGCACGTTCTTTAGAGTTCCAACGCACGGTTAACGACAACCGAACCAAAAAGTGCTCTCGCATCGCGGCGTCGAAAACGAGCTGATTCGACTTATTGAATGCCATCATAAGCATGGCAGTGGAAGACAAAATGGATATCATGCTGTGGACCTGAGTGGCGCAAGTCACGTAATCGCTTCAAAGACTCTGGAACTGATGTCCGTCTTTAGTGCCTTTGCTGCTCAGCCTCCAGAAAGTAAACTGCAAAAAAACTATGGCGGCACTTTCACCTGCGACTCCAAATGAATAAAAGCCCGTTCAACGGTGACCGCACATGCAGAGAACGGCGCAATTTCCGTCCAGACTTGCTTGCCGGCATCCTCCACGCTCTGTACGTCACTTCTGAGAGAAGACACTTGTGATTTTATATCAAAAACTGATTCCAGGCAGCTGGGAGTTTTTAAAGGCTGCTGGGTTAACGTTTGCTTGAAATTTTTGACTATAGAATCCACCAGAACTGCGCCGCAACGTACCTGCCTGCGCAAATTTCAAATTCCTGTCTTCCAACCGCATGTCGAAATTTGCAAGGCCAACTTCATCAGTTGAAAGACTGTGCTTTCACCAACATCTTCATCAGCATTGAATAATGGGATGGAAGCGTGCGGTATACGCCTATGCACAATTCGGCGCTTGCAACACATCACACGATTTCGGGAAGCTGGTGAAATTGGCCGATCTTCAAGTTGTGCATTGCGTTAATTATCGCGGTATTTTCCCCTGAGGTATAGACGTTTATTGAACTTTTCCAACACAAAAATATGTGGGGGCCCCTCATCTTAGACAGAGTCATCAAGATTTCCATAAATCGTTACTTGAGCAACGCATTATTGAGACGCATGATCCCGTTGGCGACGTGCGACGCCGGCGACGGAAGCTGGCCACGCCCTCCCCCTCCCTCACCTTTTTGGCGATGCCGCCAGGGGTGTCGTCGCCGTCGCCGGCGACGTCGCCGGAGGTTGGGCCTTTCCTCTGGCGATGGCCTGCGTGGAATTGCTCATCGTACTGACCGCCAAATGGCTGAGGTGCAACCTGGCAATTTCGCTGTGATAAGAAGCCCAGGTTGACAGATGGTAGCTGTGGTGCTACTTTGTCCCTGCTCCTGTACAAGCCGCTATCTGCAGCCAAGACGGTCCCAAGCACCAGTGCTGCATCCTCGCCTCTGGCAATGCGGAGCCCCCCCATGAGTTTGGAATGCACCACCAACCCTCGTTCGATTCTGGGCCCTTGGAAGTCTGGATCGGCCATGGCTGATACATGCCAGAATGGCTCCATGTAGCGCGCTGCCCTTGCCGACCATTTCAGCACCACAGCTCTATTTCTGCCAGCTTCATCTGCCTTTAGGAGCTCGAAGAATGGGGGTGGCCTGCCATCCATGGCATGTTCGGGATGTGTGCACCCTGTGCATCCCGAACGTAAGCGACACACCTGCCAGTGACCGACACTATGCAATGCAGCTCACCACAAGGGTCCACTACGCGAAGCTTCCGGTGGTCGAAAGGTTTCCACAATCCACTGGACTTTGAAGGCGAAAAGCCGTGTTCTGGCCATTGCAAAACTGCATTGCAAAAAAACACACATTGGGCATGTGTCCAAGGGGATCAGAGGGCATGGAATGTTCAGCTCCCATTGAGGATGGCTGTCTTTGGTGAGGCAATTGGATGCCCCCGCAGCATATTCGCAGCACAGATTTTAGTATCCTATATCATTTACTCAGCGGAGACGCACCACAATTTGTTTTTACGGATATTGCATTCCCTTTGACTTCTTGGCTCTGTCGTTTTAAAGCTCTGAAGCTACTGTTGTGCAAACGCAACGCTTGAGTGTTTTTAACACCCATTGATTTCCCCAAATCAATGGAAAAGTAAAAGCCTTCGATAAGGGACAGCCTGCCCGTAGTCTGCCAGCGAGGGTACCATTCCCAATCAGTGGTGCAAGTGGTGCAACCTTCATGTCATGAGCGGGAAATTTTGTTATTATTTTTTAATTTTATTGTTAAGTAATTGCGGGGTTGAAGCGACAAGCCTCAATCCGTTGTCTGCCACCGCTGCCCCAAGTTGTAACCAGCTACGGACGTGGTGGCCCCTTTTGAAGCGAATGGGACCCAATGCCGGAACTGTCTCCCTGCCGGCGCAAGTCGCTACCGAGTGTGCCGAGAAGATGGCGATTCTACCACGGCAAGCGCACCAGAATTTGTGTCCTGGCCCGTCTGCTGGGCGCATTCAGTCCTGTGACATAGCGCACATCTATGCAGCTGTCGCTCCCGCGCACAGTGGATCTGGGTTTGCTCCGACTTGGTGAACATGACACTCTACAGGCCCGACTGTCTCAGCACGGAGAGTGCAGCGGAGGGTGTTGCAAATCCGTGAGGTGTCTGCCTCGAAAAATAGAGGGCATTGTTTGGTGGCGTCTTCACTGCGCCGGCTGTTTTGAAGGACGCATGTGATCGCCATGTGGTCAGGCTTTTATGTGGCAGGTGCATTGATGCAGCCCGCTTTCTGGGCAGCTGCGGGCAAGGGCGTGGCAACTTCAGGGCGTGTGGACCTCAAAGAACGGAACCGTCACAACAGATTCACTGCCCAGTCGGGCGATGTTGAGCTGTAGACCCGGCTGGCTGGGGTCCATTTTGTTCCCAGCCTGCCTTCCGCCAATTGGCCGTTTCTGGGAGGGTGACAGGATATGTGCGGGGTCGGCTTGTCATGCGGCCAATCCTTGGTATGCAGCTAGCAAGCCAAGAGTGTGGTTCCGACTTTAAGCTCGAGGCTCTCCAGGGACTGCCTCAAAGGCAGTTTGTCTCCTGAGAGTAAGGCAATCAAGAACCTTGACGCTGAGGCCAATATCAGAATGATGTGATGTTTCAAAGCTTCGATTCTTGTATACAAGAATCGCATGACAACGACGCACTTGCGTGTGTATCGACCTGGACCATGTCCTATGGTCATCGACCTCGTTCAGCTGTTGCAAGTTAACGGCCACATTTCCGTACAGCAGTACTGTGTCTGTTCCAAAAGCCGTGGCCCAATTCAAATCTGCTCAAATGGAGGCGAAAATGTGCGAGTCAAAAAGATTGACCAAAACAACTTCGATGCGCCATATCCAGAGCTATCATGGAGCCATCAAAAGGGGCAAACGGCGCTGCCATTCTCGCGATGTGTGAAGAAGAGCTCAAACGCGGTTTTCCAATTTGTTGGGACCTGGCGCGGGGCATGGCGAGCTTTTCTTGCCTTTGAAATGGGGTGGAACGAGCTGAACTATCACTAGGAGAGATGTACGCTCTGGTGGTTTGCTCACCCCCTAAAGATGCGGTCCAATCCCGGAGAGAATCTGTGAAGAAACGGATTGGAGCTAAGTACAGCATTTGGGGTGTCAATGAGAACCGCGCCAAGGCTGTTCCCACATGCCAGGAGACACCGCCCCCACCCCGCAAAAGCACCCTGTGGAAAGCGGAAAACGGAAAACGCACGATTCCTTCAAACGCATTTTACTCATTTCGCGATCTGCCCCTCGCACACTGGATGGTACGCTACATTGATCGATGCCGTGACGTCCTGTCGATGCATAAATGTAAGGACGAAACAAACAAACAAACAAACACCTCCGCCACCCCGCAAAAGCACGCCGCGGAAAACGGAAACCTGAAAAAACACGATTCCTTTAAACGCATTTTACTCATTTCGCGATCTGCTCCCCAATATCGCATTTCGCAGGTACCCTCCCTTCGCGTCCGGGCCGCGGCGCGCCAATCCACCGGACTCCGACAACTTCGCCCCCCGGGCAGGCCCGCGCTCCTCGGCCCCAATGGCTGCCGCGGCGGTCGCGCGCGTGGCCATCGCCGGCTCGGCGTCCAAGCCCCTACTGGAGGACCCCGAAGAGAGGAAGAAAATGACGTTGGGTGAAAAATTCAAGGCCTGGTTCTGCGCCAACCCGCTGGCCAACCTTCCGATCTTGCTGCTCTTCAGCGCCGGCGTGGTCTGCATCGTCGGGGCGGCCGTGGGCGTGAGTCTGTCCTCTGGGGGGAGGGATCTGGCCCTGAGCTGGGACGCCGTGTTGAGGGGTGGTTGGACGCGTTTGATGTGACCCTGCGCGGTAGGGGGTTCATTTTCTTGCGGACGTGGCGCCTGGGCGCGAGGTGGGGCGCGATCGCGAGGATTTTGCCGCGTGCCGACGGCTGTCGGCTGGCGCCGTGCGCCGGCCTCGGAGCTGCCGCGAGGTAGGCGGCCGCATACCTGTCGCGCCGTTCTGGCGAATGTTTCGGCGGATGAGGGCGGCGGTGGGGCATGGGCCACACAGGGCAGGCGCGGGCCAATCTTTGCGGCCCGGTGGGTGTCTCCACACCCCACCCCGCGGCCGATGGCTGCCGCCGGCCAGCACGGGGATTGCCAAAGTGACCGTGAGCTTGCCACGCGCTCCCCGCTCATGCGCGACCCACCAATCTCCGCGTCCCCGCATCCCTTCCCGGGGCGGTGCCGAAATCCGAAATCACGATTGTCGACGGGAGCGTCCCGCGCCGCGAGACACCCCGCCTGGGCCGCTCGAGAAACGGCTGCCGCCCCCTGGGTTGGGAGAATCGCCCCGAGCGGGATGGCCGCCGTTTGTGCGGCTCCCCATCCGCGGCACAGCCCTGCGCAGCCGCCTGTGATCGGCGTTGTGGCCTGCAGCCCTCAAGGTGCCGAAGTCCATGAAATTTACGAAATTGAAAGTCCTACCGCGACTCTAGTTGCATCTGAGTGCATGACTTGAAAAGGGAAGGAGAAAAGGGGGGAGAGATTGTCGCGAGCGCAGCTTGGAGAAGGCCTCCCTCCCCAACTTTCCTTTACCTTGGGCGCAGTGGCACGTGGTGGTGGCCGTGCTGGGCTTCGCGGCGCTGTCCTTCGGCGGCTACCAGATCTGGGCGCTGCGCAACCTGAAGGCGGAGGTGGACCGGTTCTCGAAGGAGAACGCCAAGCTGGAGGAGACGGAGCAGAGCCTCAAGCAGCAAGTGTCCTTCCTGGAGGTGGGGCGCGTCGATCGAAAGAAAGCGCTCGCAGTGATTCGCGTCGCGCGGGGACCCGTCGACGTGGCTTGGGGCCAGCTTGCTGGCGGCGATGGCAGTGTGGAATGGGGTAGGGAGGGCTTTGGTCCGGCGCCGCCTTGCATGCAGCAAGCAGGGAGCGGGATGCGAAAGGGAGGCCCTTGTTCCAAGCGACAGGGAGAAAACGGGCGTTGACGACGATGCCGTTTGGCGAACGGCTCACCTGTGCATCTCCGATGGCTGCAGTGGCGCACCTTGTGCAGATGATTCGATTGCGCAGATTGTTGGTGGTCGTGCTTGGCCAGAGGCTGCCCTCCTGTGGATCGGAATCTGGGCCTCAAGTCGACAGTGGCCTGATTTGGCGATGAGACATTTGGGAGAACAGCTTGGCCGGTCATTGTTGCCATGCCTTTGCTGCTGGTGTTGTTGGCCTGCCACTATGACATGTGTCCAGGAGGCAATGGAGAACGCTGAGAACATTGTCTGCACCTGGGGACAAAGCTGAACAGGCGCAATGCCACTGCTTATCTGGTCTTTTGTCAAAACTGACAACAAGCAGATCGCTATGTTTCCCAATTCAAACTGAGGGCTGTACAGGGGCTGCCCTTGCTGTGTTGCATTGCATCAGTGCAGATTTCTTGCAGTTAGTGGAAATTTAGTTTGAGGGCATTCACCGTGACACTGCAACCTTTACCTTTCGGATGTTGTTGGTGTCACTCAAAAGTCTTGAGCCTCCATGTGCTGCAGATGGGTACAATGAAGTCGTTTTGAGTGGTACAGATATTTATTTATTGTTTATTTGTATGCACTTTGCAGAGCTTGTGCAGATCCTCTTCATTCTTTTGCTGCTTGCTTGTTGTATTCTTGGGGCATGCGCCTTCTTTGGGTTAAACACTGTCCGATTCCCTGGTAAGAAGTTGGTCCTTTGCTTGAAATCCAACTCTCTTGAATGGGATTGGTCCGCACACAATCGCTTTGTGGAACTGTCCAGCCTGGTGGGATTCCGCTCACCATTAGTCGCCCTGGGCTGCTGATGCAGACTCAAAAGGAAAAGCTTGGGACCCAAGTCGACAAGCTGGAGGGCACAGTCGTAGACCTGAAGGAAGCTGGAGACAATCTAGCCAGTGAGCTGGAAGGCTTTGAGAAGCTGAAAGAAAACTGGGAGAAGTGGGCCGGTGAGACTGGCAAGGACGTCTCCAAGGTGCTGGAGAACGCCAACAAGATCTACGAGAAGATGCACGCCAACACTGTCAACAACGAGAAGGCTCTGTTGGGCAAGATTGCCCAGGTAGGTTCCCAGGAGCTGAATCGGCACACTGTCCTGAATACGATTTTCAGCAAGGGGCAGGGCACTGCCCTTGCAGCTGCTGGGCCTATTGCAGGGCAGGTTTCCTTTTGACACTGCCTCCAGATTTTGGTTTCCCTTGGAAACTCAAGCAGATGTTGAACGCAGTGCCTTCTTTCAAATATGTCTCTTTTGATGGGAGTGGGGCAGCAATTGCATAGGCACCACTGTGTGTGGCAGTAGAGAGCTGCTGCTGTATAACACCACAGTAAAGGCAGTGAGCCAGATAGGGCACCTTGGTTCTCAACTTGGTGTGGCTGGTAGTGTCCGTTTGCAGATGGTTGGGTGTCATGGAATGGTTTGTGGTTTGTGAAAATTGTACAGTCCACACAACCCATCCAGGACCTTGATACAGCAAGTTGCATTTGGCAATGGCAGCTTCTGAATGCTATTGAAATTGTAGCAAGGTTTTCAGCTGCATTACCAACATTTTATGCACTTGAGTGATGTGTTCTGGGAGGCCATTGTCAAATTCTGGCAAACGATGCACCACAGAAATGTGTGTGCCCCATCATTGTGCATCCGTTTTCTGTGCTTAGCTAATTATTGAGAACAACAAATCTCTGCTCGTGCGCTTGCTGGGTGATGGTTGCCACTGTTGGGCAGTTCGCCATGCTTTTCATAATGTGCAGGACATGTAGAACGTCTGTTGGCTAAGCAGTTTCCAGAACACAAGATTATATCATCGGTGTGTCTAGTACATGCATTCATGTGTGCCGTGTTTTGGGTGCTGCATCATCAGGACCTGGAATTTGCAGACAAGGACGTTGGCCTGTCAGAGACAGAGTTCAACAAGTGGCTGGATCGCATTCCCAAGAAGCAGAGGGACAAGTACAAGGCATCGGGTTTCACCTATGAGAGCATAGCTGGAGCAGATGGTACCATCGACTTCATGGAGATTGAGAATCTCATCACCAAGCTCATGGAGGAGAACACCGAGAAGCTAAAAGAGATCAAGGTCACAAAGTGATGTGGAGTAGCAGCAGGCACCGCAAACGATGTGTCAAGAGGCTCATGACTGGATTGGAGCGATGCCTGAGTGTGTGCATTTCAATGCCATTCCAAGTGGTGCCATGGATGTGTAACAGCTGCACTTCATGGAGTCGAGTTTTGCTGGCAGGGTGGGCTCTATAGTTTTGGCACTTTGCCAGGCTTCCAATCTTTTGGTGGCCTTCAGGCTGTGCCTTCATTCAACGACAAGGATTCTTGGAGTCAGTTGTTGGGATGGGGGGGATGGGTTGGCCAATTTTGGGAAGACGGGTCTCCAGCCAGTGCCCACGTGTGCGATTGAGGTCAAGCGCTTTCAAGAAATGTCCTCATGCTCTTGGCGGCTGTTTTGGTTTTAACGCCAGTGGCACGGAACGGGCGAATTGCTAGTCGCTGCTTTGTTTCAGCTCGAGCCATGGCCACAAGCATGGCGTTGCATGTTGCAGATGCCGGAGAGATCGACGTTGGTCGGAACGCGGAGTGGCGCTGGAAGCTTGAGATGGGTGGATGAGCTGCAACCCTAAGGGCAAGGTGACCCCCAATTGTGAGGCTGTTGTGGTGTCCAAGCGCACTTTTTGGGAGGCTCTCGTTGGAGCATTTGCAGGCTGCAGAATACCTGTCTACCAGCGTTCCTTTTCAGGACAGCTATATCGCTGACACAGCACCCCTCCAAAGGTGGAACGCCACATGTATGCTGATCCCATACAAGCGATGCACGCACCTTTGCCACTTTCGTCAATTGTAGAGCCACAGTCAAGAAATCAACAATAGATCGTGCTGCGACACTGTCACACATTCCAGAACGGAGGGGCTCATGCGCACACAAAGTGCACTGCGAGGACGTGCGATCTGGGCGTTTGAGGTTTGCTGTCGTTGGCTACTTCTGAGATAGTTCCAGCTCCACCTGTCCCGTTTATGAGGACATCCCACCTTGTGGCTTGCTCCGTGGGAGGCGCCCCAACTCATCCTGTTGTGCAGCCGAGCGTTTACGCGCATCTACCAGAACAGTCCATTACTGGGCAGTGCGTTGTCTCACTAGACCGGTGCAGTGTGCACCAAGCGCCCGGTTATCCCTATCGTGGAGGGAATGCCGTGGATGCGATTCAAACGGCTCCTTTTTGAGTGCACACAGGAAGCGCGAATCCACGATCGCCGATGCCTCAACGGCGTTGGCACACAGCCACACGCAAGGCCACAGCCGCACACGAAACGCCCGGGGTTTACATACTTGTCAGCCCTTCCCACAGCAAAGAGCCTTGTCGACGATGGCAACGACTCCTGCAGCCAAACAGTTCGAATCTCCCAGCACACAAAGTCTCCTTTTCACTTGACAAGGACATCATCCATCACAAACCGGCCATATGGTACTTCAAAGACACCCGCTCATCGCCTCAATGCAGCACGCTCCATAACACATGTGCCATAGGCGCCCAGACACTCAGTGGTTATATAGAGATGTCTCAACTGCGAGCGCACCCCCAATCACGACATTGTCTTTGAGTCAGATGGCCTCTCCGACAACAATCAAATCGATGCTCACAAACGTCCCATCACAAGAGAAATAATTCTGTGAATTTCGACACATTTCCTTTCTTTTCATAAATTAAGGGTGCCTCTCATATAAACCATATTCTTGAAGCACATCCAGGACGCACACCACGATGCACAAGTGATCCACCTAGTGAAACGGTGTTCGTTAGTCGGTGTAGCGCAAACACCTGTCAAATCAAGCGCCACGACTGTTGACAAAGAGCATGTACTAGTGCTTTCAAAATGCATCAATGCATGTGGCTAATAAAAGCTCATGCGAGCATCACGAACTAGCGGTTGCAAGCGGCCAGAAACGTTTTCGATCAGATGTAAGTGAACATATGATGGACACCGCTTGTCTTTGGCACAATATGAAGCTGACGGCCACCCCCTGCCCTTGTTGTGTGAAATTCCGTGGTGATGGTGCCACGTCTGGAACTGATTGAGTATTATTAATAACTGAATGCAAGAAAAGATGACGAAGCACTAGGAATTGCATTAAGGATGTTGATGAACGGACTGAATATAAAGGGCAGAACGCCTGTTGTCCTTTAGCCTTGGCTGTAAACCGTTGCCGTGGACTCGAGCGCACAATTCCCGTTCAGGGATCGCCACCCCTCGATCCTGCCTGCCTTCGTAAATGGTGACCATAATTGGACAGGAGATCAATTGGGCCTCTTTTGCCTCAGAATCCCGTGCACAGAAAACGGCGCCCTCCCCCCAGCCCACCGCCGCCCCTGTTGGGCCCTCGCAGATGGCCGGCCGGCCAGGCACTGCCCCGCGCGGCGCGCAGGCGCCGCCAGCGGGCGCCCCGCAACTGGGATTAAGTTTGCAGGAATCGCGTTTTTGTCTTTTGGAGAATGCGGAGAGTGTGGGAAGGGTTTTGGGGTGGGCGCTGGCCGCGGCCGGGCCTGATCGCGCGGAAAATGAGGACGATGGGGAGGATGGGCTGCGTGGGCAGGGGGCCTGGGACAGATTAATCCGGCGCCGTTGCATTTTTGGCGTTCTTGAGCGCCGCAGAGGTGTGGGCGTTGGGGATCAGGGCGGTTTTTTGGTCTCTTTTGTATGCAGCGTTACTTCGCCCTTTTGCTTGCGGCGACCTTTCGTCGCGCATGGCGTCAACCATAGATGGCCGCGCGCCGGCGATTGGGCAGGGGGGGCCGCAGCTGCGGATGGATCTGAATTCGCGGTGTTGTGACGGCATCTCGAAGAGGGGATCCCGGGGGGTTGGTTGGGGGGCGATTGGGCACGGGGTTTGGATTGGAAGGCCTGCGTTTCTGTGCATGCGGGACCCCTCCAGCGGGGGAACTAGTTCGGACAATCGGGCAAACGTCTCAGCAGCAACAACAGTACTCTTTACGAGAGAATTGTGGTGCTGGAGTAATAGGGAATGAAGACCAGAAACGTTGGGTGGATGGGCCCAGGGGCCTAAGATTGCAAAATAGGAAAAGCACTTGCCCATTGTGGCTATGTGAAAAGTCACACACCGGTCATGGCACGTGTTTCTACTGGGAAGATCATCAGACAGTATTAGCTGTTCTGGCAGTTTACAAGGGCTTCACAATTCTTGGCAAGTGAACGTTCAGGCTCCACATTACCAGTGCACACAAAGAATAGAGGGCCACAGACTGGTGGCAGCTGGTGGACGCTTGGCATCTGTTAGTTGTGCTGCATGGGGTGTTTGCCTCTGGCGCGCAGATTGGCCGACCTTATATCGAAAATGTTTCTGTTGGCAGCCAGTGAGCAAGTCAACCATGCAAAGCTCTGCCACCCAACCCGGAACTATTGACTCCAGGTCATGTGGGCGTTGGGGGGCCAACACAGGGAATTGGCATACCAGCTCCCACCTTCGGGGGAGCACTTGTGGACTTCTGCAACAACTAGTGTTGTATGAGACACACACACAGAAAAATCTTGCCAGGAGGCACCTACATGACACGTTTCCTCGCTCAAGAAAGAACCAGAAACTCTTCCCAGTACACAACCAACCAACTACATGTCCTATTCTATGCAGCTGCTACCTGTCTCTCCTTATCAGCATGTTCTTGGGTGTGGTCCAAATTCATCAAATGTGGCATGCGGTGCTGGTCTTGTTGTCCTATGACTGCCTGGGTCTCCTAATGCAGCTGGATAGCTCTCTGCCACCCTTTGGATCACAGTGTCGGATATTTTGTTGGATTTGTTAGGTATTTTGTTGCACACGAGGGGGTGCTCACACCTTTGAAGCCAACTGCAGTGTCGTCTTTGCTAGCGAAGTCGGAGAGTCAGGAGCACAACACAGCATTTTCAGAACATGGCATTTTTGTCTGAGTGAGTTTCAATGGGCATGTATAGAACAACTTGTCTGTTCAACGATTATACCCCCACCGATTCAGTAAGAAGGGAAATAGTGAGTTGGAGATCAGTGCGCATGCTTGTTGACTGTGCTTGACACCACCTGACAGATGGGAATACTATTGCTTCACTTGCTTTAGAAGTGTGTTCACTGCAGATATCCACGAGCAGGTTTCTCTAGCCTTGCCGTTCCCCTTGCCTGTGCGTGCCTCCTCCAGTGGCAGTGTGCTTGGGCCCTGGGTGCCCAACTTGGGTACCATGCCAGAAAGAACGAAAAGGAAGACTGTGGCATGATGTCTTTAACAAACGCTTTCAATATGGATTTCCTCAGACACGTTTTCTCTTGCTCATGCAGTTTCCCTTGCCAGTGAATGCCACGTGCAGACGGCACTGCCCGTCTGTCACAGCGCAGTGGCAGAGAAGCCCCACCACCACAAAGAAGAGAACCACAGGACCGCCTTTGACACCGCCCAAAGCACCAGTAAGTTGTCACTGTACTTGCCCATTCGATGGAAGGGGGCTCAGAGGGGAGAGAGGCTGTGAAGTTGCCAAATGCAACAGTGCACTGCCATCCCTCTTCAAGCTCAACATAGGCATACTTCCTTCCGCTAGAATTGTCCAATTCCCCCTGCAGAGTTCACACTCACCTGTGGGCCTTTCTATATCATGGCCTTTCTGACAACTGCATGCCAACGATTTCACTAAGAAGTTCAGAGGGAAATTCATTTTCTTATTCTCATTTCTGGTATTTTCTTGTCGCTGTTATTTTGCTGTTATTGTGATATTGGAGGCAATGAAATCTGAGTCCACCATGACAGCTCGATGCAATGCTGAGGACCCTGTACCCACTCTGTGTAGCAGTCATTTCTTTGCATTTGGAAAGTGACAAATTGGTGGCCTTGCACCTTCAGTGCGGTGACCGGCATACTTCCTTGTACAATAGTTGTTTGAGAATTCTGTGCCTGTGGAGACATAGTTTGGTTCCTGTTCCTGCAGTCATTTTTGTGGCAAACTGTTCTTGTCTGTACTTTCATGTACCCAGAGTGGACAATGCAAGGCCTGTTGACCCACAGGATGCACAAGGCAGTTTCTTGTGCCATCTCATGCCCCAACACAGGC